CCCCCCCCCCCCCCCCCCCCCCCACAACAACCTGTGAGATAGGTTGGACTAAGAGAGAATGACTGCCCCAAAGGCATCCAGTGAGCCTCTGTAGCTGAGGGCAGATTAGAACCTGAGCCTCCCCACTCCTAGTCCAACAGTTTACTCATTACACTGTAAGTGGGAATGGAAGCATGGACCTCTTAGGTTCATGATTCCCCTTCTGAAAATGCTTTCTTAAAAAGGTATGAGGTGCTAGAATGGCTACTCATTAGACTATATCTCCCTTCCCAAGAAATTCAGTAGTTAAACTTCTACAACTGAAAGTCATGTACATATGCATGAACAGATAAACCCTAAAGCACAGTGTAAATGCTGCACATTTCGGCTATTCACAATCTATACCAGCTTTCTCCAAGTAGACCACCTTCCAGATTTCTGAACATTCTGAATTCTGAGATTACAGAATTTCTAAGGTAGCATGGCTATTCTGAACCAGGCTGGAGAAATCTGAGCTGGACTTACTCCCTAATTTCTTTAAAACAACATAACTCTTGTTTTAAAATTGGAGTAAGCAAGAACTGATGTACGGGAGGCATGTTCCATCTAGGAGGGCATAAGACCTGGTCAATTGGTGTTCTCTCCTCATACCTGGTCATAGACTGAAGCTGATCATGCACTAACTATTTTGCCTCTCAGAGATGGCAACACATTTCATAATCCAAGTATAGATTCCTGTCGCAACCAACAGATCAACATTCGGTTGATCCAAAAAAAAAGCAGACCCTGCACATGCAGGAAAAATGCTAGGAAGAAAAAAAAAACAGACTATGTTTCTGTTGATTATGCTTTACTAGAAGAACATCTACTTTTTTGCCTTTAAAACCAAGCAAATCTGGCTGTTACAAGAATATACACGTGATTCAGAGTACATGATAGAGTTCATATCATTATTTAATTTATGAAATGTTGGAACTTCCCAACATTGTGTCCTGATTACTGATCACTTGTATCTCAGCTCATACCTAGCTAATATAATCTGTGATCAAACAAAATGGGAGCTATAGTCCAGCAACAACTGGGGATCTAAGACTGGGGGCCTCTCTGTTACAGATATCCTATTACCTGAATATATCTCTGAGCAGCATCATAATCCTCCTGCTTGTAAGGATTCTTTGGTTCAGCCCACTCTACACTGATGGAAAGTGAGATCAATCCTCTTTGTTTGGGGCGATAGATCTCATTGTAGAGATGCCACACTTCTGCATGTGCCTTGATCAAATTGTGCCCCACAATGTAAGGAGCGCGGCCTGGTCTTTCAGATATGCCTGAAAAAACAGTGATGTGGGGAATGGGTTACCCAACAGCTACAGGGGCACTGATATATACATTTTAATCATACATTTTAATCTACTCGCTTTTCTGCAAGGAGATACCCTCTTAAAATGTGCATTTTTTCTTCTTCTTCTTTCAGTATATTAGATTAAAGTGGTGACAGATGCCCATTTTACTGCCTTGATGACTGTAGCACTGACATAATGATAATACAATTTAAAGGAGATCCTAAAGTAAACCTTCCCTTAATCAAAATGTAAATTAAATTATAATGAAATATTATAGATATCATTTTTATTTCTGACATGTACATAAATCAGTGGCTGGTCTGCATGGATCCCTACTTCACAGTTGGCTAAAAATTCTAAGTTGAAGCTTTCCCACAACTCATTTACACGTGTGCATTAATCTGTTGTTCCCTATGCCCCAGCATGAAGTTGCATATGTTGCTCAGAACAGCTTGTGTGTGGGATGCTTAGAAAGGAACGACTAGGAAAATCTGAATATGCTTGGCAACGCAGCTGCACCACACCTGGCATAAGATGACAAGGGAGTAAAGGCTTTCATACGGCTTACAACGATCCCTCTCACACTCTGCTCTTCCTGTAAAGAATCTATCAGATAATGCTTTCTATGACTTTCTAAGACATTCTAACAAAATTGATTAACAAACCCAAGAGACAATTCAGACCTTGTTCACCTAAGAACAGATTTGCTGCTCAGTTTTTCAAAGTTCTTAGCTCCATTAATGACTCCCACTAATTACTCCTGTTCCTGATACTCTATTCAGAAGAGTCAGGAACACCGGATTAAGGGTGAGACACCTGTGAGCCCTCCAGATTCTGCTGAATTATAGCTCCCAGCATCCCTCACAATTGGTCCTGATGATCGGGGCTGCAGAGATTTATAATTCAGCAACACTTGGAAGGCTAAAGTTTCCCTACATTTACATTACATTAAACCTGGACTTTTAGGTTCCCTATCAATTGTAAAACTGTCCTCTCATGGGTCAACACAGATCTGAATAATCAACAACATCCTTCCATTTTCTAAAGCATTCCTCTTACAAACAAGTAGGGTTGGCAAAACACCTTACCTGGCGCAGACACTCCATAACCGTGACCAAGATTGGCAATGACATAAGGCTCATTTAAAGTTATCCAAAATTTCACTTTGTCTCCCAATCTTTGAAAAATGAGGTCTGCATAGTCTTTAAATTTCTGAATGATGCTCTCATTTTCCCACCCTCCACTGTTCTGGAGGGCCTGAGGAAGATCCCAGTGGTACAGGGTTACCTAGAGTTTAAGACATGCATTTACAGAAGACATGCATTTACAGAAGACTACCATTTTTGTTAAATTAATCAGTTATCTGTAATAGTGGCAAACTGTGAAATATTATTTTAGCAGAAATAGTTTATTGAACTCTTCTACAAACCACAGCCAGTCATGGTGTGCAAATATATAATACTTGATTCAACAAAATGTCTTGAAATGCTTCCATATTAAGTCTTTTATGCTATCAGTTAAGACACATTGTGCATGCAATTATACTATATTTGGCTTCTTTGCAGATATTTCTGGAAGGAAAAAAAAAGATTGGTGCAATTCCCCCCAAAATGTGTAATTTTGTGAGATTTTGTCCATTTTAATTTTTTGGAGTATTGGAAGTCAATGGGTACTACCTAGTACCTCTGAGTGTTGTATTCCCAACCTCAACTATATATAACAAATAATCTAATTATAAACCTGAAAGATAATGTATCTCCCCTCTCCAAACATACAGATTGTAAGGAATCTAGCACTGTTTTTACCTGAGGTTGGATATTGGCTGCAAGAAGTGCATCCACAAATCTTTCATAATATTTCAGGCCAGCTTCATTGATAAGCTTGGTGGTCCCATCTGGGAGAACGCGAGACCAGGAGATTGAAAAACGATAATGGGTCACCTTGATGTCTTTCAGAGCAGTCAAGTCTGCCTCTATTTTGTGGTAGCTGTCACAAGCTATATCTCCATTTTCATCATTGTTAATTTTCAAAGGCGTGTGAGCAAACTGGTCCCAAATACTGAGGCCTTTTCCATCTGCTCTCCAAGCTCCTTCAATCTTTAATGAAAGGAAATAATTTATTTTACTTTTATTACATCTTCCCTGGAAGGCAATAATCATCTCCCCCCCCCCTATACACACATACACATAGACACATTTTGATCTTTCCCACAAGCCTGTAAGTTTAGGTGGAAAGAATGAGACAGACATACGTAGGCTCCTCAGGGTTGAATAGGAATTTGAACTCAGCTCTGGCCAATCCTAGACTAATACTTAGACCACCACGCTGGCTCTCACTTCAGTGACTCACTGCTAAAATACAAAACAGCAGCAATTATATTGACTACAAGAAAAAGGCAGAGGTTAAAGACGGACAACATTGTATTTCTCTGTTCCTCCCACCGTTTTTCTGGAGTTTAAATAATTTTTCCTAAGGAAGAATTACTGTTCATCTTATAAACTTCAGATGGCTTAATAAAAATGTTTCCTTGTTATGGGTTTTGAATTATCATTAAAGCGGTAGCTCACCATCATCAAGACAGATACTAATTTAGAAAAAAAATTCCTCCAGACATTCTGGAAACATGGCTTATTTTTACACAATGAAGGCTTTGGGTTATTTATTTATTTTATTTATTTGTTGAATTTTTTTATGCTACCCCCATCTGGGCAGCTCACAAATAATACAACCCAAATGTTACAAGTATTAAAATGGCCATAAGAGCTCAATCAAAGAACCTAAAACAGGGCATAAAAACAGCAGCAGCCCCAGTCACAGCCTTGAAATCCTGGCCAAAGGAACTGCCTCCATTGCTTTGTATGAGATCATAGAAAGGGGGCTCTGCTGACCTCAGAAGGCAGGCTGTTCCATAAGGTTGGGTGGGGGAATAATTGAGAAAGGCTACTTCTGGACTCCACTCCCCACCATTTCGAGGTGGAGGAGTCCACAGTGTACCTCAGCCCACACACACACAGGATGGGCAGATATTACCTGGAGAAGACATTGCCTTCCATAACAAGGAAACCCACCACAAAGGGCTTTGTAAGTCATTACCAGCATTTTGAAGTGTACATAGAAGCCTCATGGTAGCCAATTCAGTTTAGAAAGATATCCAGTTCAGAGATCCAGTTTAGGCACTGCTCTACTAATATGGATCTCACCCACCACCAAGTGGGCTACTGTATTCTACACCAATGCAGTTTCTGAGTAGTCTTCAAAGGCAGCCCCAAGTAGAGAACAGTTGGACTATTATACTGTCCAACTAAGTGAGATACTCTAAAAAGGATGCAACTGGTGCACCAGATGAAAATGAGCAAAAGTTTCCACCCACTGCTCCAACAGAAATCCAGAGTGTTGAAGATTCCCCAGACTGCAGAGTTGCTACTTTGGGGAAGGGCAGCCCCATCTAGAGCCAAAGTGGGAGCCAACTTGGAGACAGTTCGTTTCTGGAAAAGCAATAACTCCAACTTGCTGGGATTCAGTTTGAGCCTGTTTCATCCCATCTAATCCCACACAGCTTCAGAGACTAGGTAAAGACTCCATGACATCTCCTGCCTGGCCCAGGGTGAAGGTGAATAAATAAATAAATATCATCCACATATTAATGTCTTCCCTGAACTAACAGATGACCTCTCCCAGCAGTTTCATATAAATGTTAAGCAGAATGAGGAAGAGTGAAAAGACTGTGGACCCCAGAGAGGAATAGCCAAGCTCTTAACCTATCATCCTCATCACTATTGACTGGAAGTGCTCACTCAGGAAAGAGTGGAACCACTGTTATAACAGGTGTCCTTCACTTTCAGATTACAAGCCAACTATTGTAGGTGAAGGCTAGAGGTGAGATCAAGGCTAGAGGTGAAGGCTAGAACCAGCATATGGTCATCTGTTTGAGTTAGACGAATTATCACCTGGGAGAAACCTATCTCTACCATGTAGTCCACGAACTTCTAAGTCAAGCCCAATCCCACTCTCAGAGGATGGATGCTGAAATTCCCTGACACTCAGATGCGGGAATCCAATCTCTGTCAAGTTATCAAATCAAGCAGCTCAGATAAGGATATTGCTGGGCAGCAGGTTGGATGGTACACAAGCAGTACCACTAGCAAAGCAGAGCATCTGATCATATCCAAGATCTCTCAGAGGATCATTGCTATGCCCCCTCCCTGTCCTTGGAGTAATAGTTGCTGAAACAGGAATATCTCCAAACTAGGATAAGTTATACATACAGGTCTGTTCACTCTTCCTTTTCACATAGTAGAGGATTAAAGCTGTATTACAAGTAGATTTGGCATTTAGTAACAGCAGTCTGAGTCTAAGGATCCCAGCATTCTGGCATCCAAGAATTCGAGAAGGTGCCAAAAGCTAGAAGCCCATCTCTCTTCCCCTGCCTGTATCTCCCTCTGCCAGTCTCATTTCTTTGCAGTTCTCCCCAACCTCCTCTTCACCGTTCCCCCCGCCCCCCAGGCCTGTAGTCTGTCTAACCCTGCCCCACCCCAAGCTGTCTCCATGGTAGTCTGGCTGGGCAGTCCCCTAACCTTCTACTTCCACCACTTCATACAGATATCCTGGCGATCTAGCCAGTGGCTATTCATGCCAGATCTAACAAATCTCCCAACAATTTCCACAACGTTATTAATAATCTTCTACATCAAAGCATGTTTTCTAACCTGATATGCTGCTGTGGCCACACTCCAATAGAAGTTCTTGGGAAATTCTCCATAAAGGAATTCATCCTCTTTTGACAGTGGGAATCCATTGTTACGTATGATTTCAGAATAATATATAGCAGAACGCTTTGGAGTTCTAGGCCTGTTTGGATTTTCAAAATCAACCTGGTGTAGGCCAAATCTTGGTTCATAACCATTCAGCCATTCAAAATTATCCATAAGTGACCGGGCAAAAAAACCTTGAAGATTTACTCCATCCAGCTTGTAGGCTAAAAAACAGAAAACCAAAAGACAGTTTTTGAACTGGATATGATTACTATACGACTAAACAAGAAAATGAACTTGGGAAACAAGAAAGGGGCATGATTATTTGCTCCTGTTGACTTATGTGTCTGTGAAGGGAGCAATCTTGTGCATGATTGGAAGTAAATGGTCCTTCAGCCTGCAGTCCTATGTACATTTATCTGCAATTTCAAGAATCTGTGATTTACTCACAGATAAGTATGCACAGTGGCTGCAATTTCAAGGCACATGACCTCAAGAATACAGATTTCAAACACACACTAATGCAGCCTTTCTGAACTTGGTGCTTCAGATGTGCTGGGTCTATAACTCTCAGAGCTGGCCAGAACTTTTGGGACAATCCCAGATTGGACCAGGCTGCAATCCTACATGCTTTTCTCTGGGAGGAAATTCCTTTGAACTTTGTGGAAATAACTTCATTTACAGGAGACAAAATCTCATAGAATACATGAGAAATTTCCTCTAAGAAAGCATTAATAACTGAGTGATCATTCCATAAAATAGTGATTTTCAGATTTAAAAGTAATTGAAAAGTTAAGTAGGAATGACTGTATTTAAAATGATGGCTGACACAATCTTGTATAAGTTTATTCTGAAGTCCTACATGGTCAATAGCATTTACTCTCAGGAATGTATGCTTAGGTTTGCATGCTTCATTTAATTAACTTTAAATACAAGGTATTTATATTTTTGTCTGTTCTAATAGTGCAATTCTAAGAATATTTTCCCAAGCTAAATTCTGCTGATCCCTATGTGATTTGTTCCCTACCTTTCAACTTTATTTAAAGCTAGAATTAATTTAGTTGAGTAACAAGATGACCTGTAACGAAAAGCCAAGCAACGTGCCAGCAAAGCAAAGCAAAACAGTTTGCCAGGGTGCCCATGATAGTCTAAAATTGCCAAGTATGCCCAGTAACCCCTGACCTCAAAAAGTTTATCTGTGCTTCCTCTAATTCTATCTGGTACCTACAAGTAGATATTAAATTGCAGGCTTTACACATCATCAGAGTTGCTGGGAATTGGGCGGCATATACATTTAATATATTATCATTATTATCATTACCTTTCAAAGCTTCATCAATGTAGGTTTTATAATAAAAGACCCTTTTGGTATCATCAACATCTGACTTAATTTTTATTCCAACTCCATTCTCAGTAATGTAAATAGGTGGGTTGCCATATTCCTCCTTGATCCAGTTTAGGAGCCTCCGCAGTCCCCATGGCACTGCTCGCAGATTTGTCAGGGCTGTGGTTGGCCATGAAGAATCTCTCTCCAGGGCTCGTTCTTGGTCATGTTCATAAGAAAATGGTTTCAACCTGGTAGTCTTGTGCTTTATAATGTTGGTGGTATAATAGTTCAAGCAGAAGACATCTGCCGTGCCCTGGATATATTTTTTCTCTTCTTCAGTGAAAACTGGAAGCCGGGAGGCTGACAATTTCTGCAGCTCAGTCCGGTTTCCCACTGTCCATTTCATGGCATCTGGATAGTCACCATTTTTAAAAATCGGATGTGCAAACCATCCCCCAGTGAACTGTAGGAAACGATCTGCTGCTTTTACATCCTGGGGATCTCTTGGCATCTTCGGTTCAACCCAGTCAATGTTGAGACTTATGGAAATTACACCTTTCTGGCTTTTCTTATACTTCTGGGCATATGTATGATATACCCTGGCATGAGCCTTCAATATTGTATGACTAACTTTATAGAGGGCATCACCCGGATTGTCTACCACATTTGGAGGATAGGCACCTGTATCATAGCCAAGCCATGAAATTGTGACAGGTTCATTGAAAGTAATCCAGAACTTAACCCTATCTCCAAAAGTATGAAAACAGAAGTCAGCATAACTATTATATAGTTCGATCAATTCAGGGTTTGCCCACCCACCAATGTCTTGGAGAGCTTGAGGCAGATCCCAATGGTACAGAGTGACCATTGGTGTAATATTTGCAGCCAGTAGACCATTAATCAATCGGTTGTAATAATCAACCCCATAACTATTTATAGATTGATTTCTGCCATCTGGAAAAATTCGAGGCCATGAGAAGGAGAAGCGATAACTGTTCACCTTTAAGGCTCTCAATAAATAAAGATCTTCATCTACTTTATTGTAGCTGTCACAAGCTACATCTCCAGTATCATCGTTCTTAATTTTTCCTGGCGTATGGGTAAAGTTATCCCATATGCTAGGTCCTTTTCCATCTGCATCCCAGCCTCCTTCAATCTGATAGGCAGAAGTGGAAACACCCCACAGAAAATCTTTTGGGAAAGTGTCATAAAAATACATGTCTCTTTCAAAGTTAGTCTGGCCAGAAAATTTTTCCCAAACTATCTTTGCCTTTGAGGGGACTTCAGACGCTGACAAACTAGGCAGCCTTGAGGGCATGGAAAAATCCTTTCTGAACGGCTGGATGTGTTTTCTCATGCTTGTACTAGGAAATCCATTATTTTCAATCACAGAAGAGAAGAAATATGCAGATTTTCTTGGTGTTCTTTGTCTATTGGCATCTTCAAAATTCACATTATGAAGGCCAAATTTTTGACTATAACCTGAAATGCCTTCAAAACCATCAATCAGTGATCGGGCAATATATGACTGAACATCCACACCATCTTGTCTTATAGCTGTCAAGCAAACAACAAAAAAATCATTTAGATTTTCATTCAGTCCTGTAAAATACACAGAATAATCACAAAATTATTCTTCTTTCATCTATATAAAGCAATGTGAACACCTGCAGGCCATAGGTGGTCTTTCAGTGGGATCAGAAGCAAAACTATATTTAATTTGATTTAATTAAATTAAAAATTAGAGTTTGGTAGCAGGTTTTGGAAAAGTTCTAGTATTGTACACAAGACTTTGGGGAACTGCATGCAGTCCTTTCAGTATAGGTTGTACATCTCTGATATACAGAAGATATAAAAAGGGGTGATATGATAGTAAACCTCCTAATTCACCAAGCAAAGCTAAAAACATTAAATAGGTTTATGCAAGCAATATTATTGCTTAATTTTAATGTTAATGTAATTGATTGTATTATATATAACTCACAGCTGAACAAGAGAACTAACACTTTAAAAAGCTGCATGATCGAGAAGCTACAAGGCCATATGGCAGTTATATCTGCAGTCTGTGATTCACTTGGATGCATAAATCACCACTAATGCTGCAGTAATCAGATGACTAAGGATTTCATTGCCAAGTGCCTAGGCATTCCAGTATCACCAGCCAAGCTTCACTGAGCCCTTTTTTCACCCATAAGGCTAGGCATGAGATTGTATTAATTGATACAATCAATACATTTGATTGTATCAATTTATTGGCTTTCCCAGTGATGGGTGCCAATCCTTCGTGCTCCCTGAAGCTCACTAGTAGATCCGAAGCTAGTGCTGCCCGCCTTTCATGGTTTGGTATTACAGAGGCAAACAATAGGTTTGCATTTTCTAAGCCAGGATAAGTAACATGCCAATAGGAAGCCTTGAGGGAGTACTTCTCTCTGGCACAGCTCTATGAAGTGAAGCAGTGCTCCATTTCTGGGCAACAGGTCTAGAACTGCAACAAAATGGTTACTTCACTGGCCTGGGATAATCTTCTGCACATGGATGAGCAGAAGACATTTCCACCAAAATGTAGTAGTCAAATGAAGTGCCCAGCCTTGGTGCTTTCGACTGGAGGCAATGAGGCACCATCTTGAAGTAGGCCACCCCAGTGATTGAAACCAAATTGCTCTAGAAAGTGAAGTAACACCACTTTGTGGTTTTATAGGAAAGCCTTTTGCAACTGGAGCCACAGTGTTTGTTCGTTTTAATTATTTGGCCCCTGAAAGCATGGGAGATATGCAGTAACATTCAATCATTTTTATGTGTGTTTTGAGGGTACGTGAAGCTGATTAAGACAGAATTGGTGTGTTAAACTTAGCAGATGTTTAATGCATTTCTTGAGAACGAAAAAATCATGCCGTCTAAAATGGTTAGTTTGCCAATGAGTTCTAGTGGAATGATCTTGTGAAGCTGTAGGGGCTGCATGTCTTCCTTGATCTTTGGGTTGCCTGGAGAGACCTGCAAGTTTTATCTATCAGGCCAATATAGATAAACAATTTGTGGAACATTAACATTTCTAGCATCTGGTGAAACAGCCAAAGTGCTAACTATCCACCTTACACCAAACTCTCACAAGCTCAACATGAAAATCTTCTGTACCTTTTAAGGCCTCATTGATATAGAGACGGTAGTAATCCAGCCTCATGGTATCATTGATCCAATCGCCTCCATCATCAGTGGGTGCACCATTTGCCGCTATGTAAATGGGGATACTTGCATTTGTATATTCATCAGACACGAACTGCAACAATCTCCTCAACCCCCATGGGACTACATACAACCAGGGTGCAGCTGTCCTTGGCCAAGAAGGATCCACATCCTGGGAAAAGCCCCCAATAGTCTCATAGTCTGGTGTACAGGTTTGATTAGCCAAAGCACCAACAAGCCTGGAAGTATAATGAGAAAGACCAAAGAAGTCAGCCGTTCCTTTCACCAGCTTCTTCTCCTCACTGGTGAATGTGGGGAGATTGGCAATAGCAGCAGAGCACTGCGTATTTATCTCCTCAATCTGGGACTTCAAGATCTCCGGATAATCGCCATTAACATATATTGGGTGAGCAAACCAGCCCAACATGAATTGTAAGTAGCGCTCGGCTGCTTTCACATCCTGGAGAAGGCTGGAGGCCTTGGGTTCAGCCCAGTCAGAGTTCAACACAATGCCCACTTTCCCCTGCTGCTGGGGACGATACTGCCTGTTGTAAATATGCCAAGCTTGAGCATGTGCCTTGAGGATCACATGAGCCACCTGTTGGAAAACAGAAATATATAATAAATACTGTATGCATTACTCCACTAAATATTCTATGTGAAGTTACAAGTTCAGTTGCTAGTATCTCTGGCAAGAAGGGATAGGAAAAAATGCTAATCCAGATGATATGCAAGCTCTAATGTTTTTCTACTGAGCCTCCTGATTTGGGGTTCAACAACCATACCCTGAGAGGGAAAATCTCACCCTATTTTTTTAGGTCTTCAAAACAGATACAGGACATTTAAAACCCTCCATTCAGATGGATTACAATGGGCCCCAGTGGGTGTAAGAGCTTGGCCCTCTCCATTCCAAACATATTTGGAGGGTTCTGAGAGTGTTCTGGGACTATAAAGCAGAGGTTGGCACCATATGCAGCCCATGGGTCACTGGTTGCCCACCCTTCTCTTCAATGCCTGGTAGTTTGATCTTAGTCTTCAAGACCTGTGTTTTTCACTCTTCTTCTCAAATTGTTAAATAGGGGATGTATATTAATTCAAGCCTCAGATTAAGTAGCAATTGCCCATGACTTCTTGTTCTTCTTCAACCTTTTAGTTAGGGCAAGCTACTGAGTGTTTTTGCTTCTGGTACCTGATAGGATGCTGTGCCTGGACTGTGAATTCCTGGAGGATGCTGCCCTGTACCATAACCAGCATAGCTAATGACCCACGGTTCATGGAAGGTAACCCAGAGTTTAACCCGATCTCCAAACGTGGCGAAGCAGAAAGCTGCATAGTTTGTGAAGGCACCAATGATGCTCTCATTCTGCCAACCACCAAGGTCCTGCAGCACTTGTGGAAGGTCCCAGTGGAACAAGGTCACCATGGGTTCAATGCCAGAATCCAGCAAGCTGTCAATGAGTTTGTTGTAGTAATTCACTCCTTGAGGGTTCAAGCTGCTGTTATCCCCATTGGCAAAAATCCTAGGCCATGATATAGAAAATTTGTAGATCTTTGGATGAAGACCTCTAAGAAGATAAACATCATATTCAGTCTTGCGGTAACTATCAGAGGCAACATCGGCTGTTTGATTCTTATGGATATGGCCTTGATGTCCATATCGGTCCCAAATACTCTCTCCTTTCCCATCTTCTGCCCAGGCTCCTTCAACATTAAAGGATCCTGTTGATGTACCCCAGAGAAAACCACTAGGGAAAATATCTGTCACAAAAGAGTCTCTTTCCTGCTTAGATTGGTGAGCAAATTTTCCCCAAATCTTTTGATAATTTGAAAGTGGAGTCTCAGCTTGTGTAAGGTCTTCCTTCTGCTTTGATTGAATAGCTGGATTTTTGTGGGACCTTAAAAAAAAAAAGAATATATCAGTAACTAGACTTTTTATAATTACTCATTCAAATCATTCAAATGAAATTGTGGCAAGAAATTTCAAATAGTACAGATGAAGCTACATAAAATCCATGTGGAAAACCGTTATATTTGCAGGGAAAATCATCCCAGAGTTTGGATTAGAACAATCTTAATATATAGATTTTCATGAAACATACCAAGAATAAAGAAACTCAAAGCAAATGATGCATTTGTGCTGTGATACTGCAACGCAAACTCTGCCCTTTTGTACATGCATCATAACACACAAGAGACGGATCTTGTGCCACAACAGTAGGATGTATGTTTTATCATTGTGATGAATATTCTAGATTTGCCTCTGTAAACCAGACTAAAATGTAGGAAGAGCGCTGGCCCAATAAGGTATCTCTTCACTGGTAACAATGATATTTATATTGCAAAGTTCAAACCATACTGGCTAATTTTTTGTGGGCATGTGGGCATGTGTTCACATGTATGTATATATGTATATATGTATACACACACACACACACACACACACACACACACAGAGGATAAAAAGAAGCCTGCATCTGAATCTGGTGACCTCCAAAGATTTTGGTCTTCAGCTCTGGGGCATCAAGAGAGCTGATCCAGCCCATCTGGAAAGTAGCAATATCAGTGAAGCATCCATCAGATTGGGCAGGATAGCGTATACACCACTAATATGCAGTTGATGAAAGTAACTACTTTAGAATTGCGCAAAATGTCAGCAATCTCTTTTCTCTACCTACTTAATAACTGTGAAGCTATTTTATGGGAACAACATGAATAGGAGCAAAAAAGGATCTTGAGAACAGGTAGTGTTTATCAGACAGTTATCAGATAGCCATACAAAGCTCAACAGCAAGTCATAGGATTGCTCTCCTGTGATCTGATAATCCAAGGGTAATTTAGTCTGGGAGGAGAGCATAGGGCTGTAGCCAAAACTTTGGGGAAACACCTATGGCTTTTGGGGTACAGGTTATCCCCCTCCCAATCCTTAGTTCCTGAAGTGATACCTGGCTGGATAATGGGGACCATTATTTTCAAAGCAGCCAGACTATCATCACAATATTTTGTATGAAGTTAAATATAGCTGTAACACAGTTAGACAATACATTGTTTGCCACTCAGAGAAGAGAAATTTTACGCTTAGAACAGTTGGGCTAAAATTATATTGCCACATATCGAGCATGCCTGGAATCACAGACACAGTTTTTGTGAGGCACAAGCTTTCTCAAGCTACAGTGGGGCAAAAAAGTACTGTAATACAAAATATCTTTTTGAATAACTGCAAAGCCGTTATAAAATGCTGCCCCAAACGTTTACATTTACCAAATATTTATTATGAGATGCAAATAAGAATTGCCAAAGACACTGTGTATTTTATTTATTTAATCACACGTAAGCATAAAAATAAATACTTTGTACCTTGCTTCTGGAATGCCTAAGCCCTCTAAGAAGGAATTCACATCGTAGCCTTTTACCAGTGCTTGGGCTTCATACATGGCTGGAAAATAGAGAAACAGAATCAATGCAATAAACAGATAAGCAAGAATAGGTGAGAACCAATACAGTTCAGTCTGACCACTGATCCTTCTCAGGGATATCTGCTGTTTGGCAAGAGAGGTCTAAAATGTTCTGCTATATACAATATCCTCCATCACACCCAAGGGGAGCTGTTTAATTTGCAGGTCATAAAACAAGGTTGTCCTGCAACACATCTCTATTGCTCCCCAACCACAAGCTTCCATTTGACTCCCCCCTCCCCCTGTTGAAATGAATAGCATTTGCCTCCCATGTGCAGGAGGAAAATTGCTGTATTTCCCTTGCTTCCCAATCACCATATTCACCATTTATAAGCCACGCAATACTACAACTTTTCCTTCCCACAGAAGAGACATACCACTGAAAATGGAAGCCATTGTTGTAAGCTCGTTTTCTTGATCAGAAGAACATTCAGAGAAGTTTAGACTGAAGAGTAGAACATCCGTATCATGTATGAGATGCTGAAAGCACAACGTATTAAGTTATGACATGTGTTAATCTTAAGAGTCAAGATCTTCATGGAGGAATCTATCTATGTAGTTGCTAGGAGTTGAAAATGACTTGATGGCACATAATTAAATTTTTTTTACAGGGAGTAATTCTGCCTTAAGTAAGAAGTAAGGCAACACTGCTGTTGCTAAGAGTTGTAGAGAAGCTTGGTAGATGCTGGTGATTAATGGAGTGTGAGTAAAACCCTCCAACAACATCTTTCTCCACCTTGAGATTTCTGGATATGTCTTTTTCAGAATCCTCAGACAGCACAACAGGACAGCCCTTAATTTAAAAAGGCTTCCCATTTAGACCAAAGGCAATATTAAAGACTCGTTCTCATGCATACTTAAAAAAAAATAGGTAGTCTAAATTGAAATGGACATTGATCATTAGGAAAAATTTGGAGAGTAGATTATCAAAACATACTGTATATACTGCACTGTGTTGCCCAGTTAGATGAAGGCTACAACCCTATTCAATTGATCAAATCCAATAAGCATAGCAGACCTTATTTCCAAGTAAGCACATAGAAAATTGGGCGGTGTGCAAGATTTGGGCAGATTTCTTGGCTTGTTTCTGAGTGAACATTCTGTAAAATTAATTGTAGTGTATTTGGTTTGGAGATGAAAAGCCAGCTTAGCATCGAATTGCACTCACATTAATTCAGGGGAACATAGCTAAGGTTTCCCCAGATAGACAATGGATCACACCCAGATGTGTTGGACTACAGAATCTTTGGATAGGGGCTGATAGTTCAACACATCTGAAAGGCACTGAGTTGAGAAAGGCTGATCTATAAGCATGCAAACAAAGTTGCATTAATATCACAAAGGCCATTCAAGAGACAGTCTGCAGAATACCGTAAAGTACATTGGTGCAATTGCTCTGAATTACCTTTATTTCATTCAGCATCTTTTCAATACCTGCTTCAGTTTTACAGTTGTACCGTAGGCTGAGAGAGAGAAAATCTATAGAGGCCTAAAATGAAACAGAACGTTGTTATCTGCAACCATTTCTGCAGCTACTTCTCCAGAAGAACTTTCACCAGGATAATCAGGGGTATCTCCCAAGGGAGGTGCCAACAGGATCAAAATAGCAGGCATGACTGGGCCCCTTTTTACATACTGTATGTGCTGTGTGTGACACACATGAATTTTGATGCTGTTGACTGTTGATTCCCACCTCCCCCATGAATGCTTCTGACTTTTATGAAGTTATATTTTGCAACTACAGTAGGTTTATTTTTAAAGCACTTAGTTATACTTGATGGCTAGTATGAAGGGAAATGATAGCATTGTACAAAGAGAATGAATTATGAAACAGAATTTGTTAGTATGGTGATGCCTGATTTTCAGATTTTGCAGATATATTAGCTCCTCTCGCACGCTATTGCAAATCTAACAATGTATAAAAATCATAACCCCTGAAATTACATACATAGAACACAAGATCTCAAAGATCGATTCCCACTTTGCATCCTCCCAATGTATTTAAAAGTGGAAAAACATACTGTAGAAACAGAGAAATTATTCTACCATTTGCAAATCTTGAATAAGGTATGTACAAGTTATGTATGCATATGGCAATATAGCAAAGTGATTCATTTTCTTTTAAAGCCTAGGATATTAACTTTATTTTATTTATTTATTAACTTAAAGACCTTTGCCATTTTTTTTTTTAAAGTGGGAGCTTTATTACTTAAAAACTTACATTGTGTTCAGTGCAATTAGTGACAAGAACACACAGATTTGCTCATGGTAATACAAGCTAGGTTAGGAAGTGGAGAAGATATCCCAGAACAAATGAGGCAAGAGAATCACGTGGACATGGGTATGACACCACCAGCAGTCAAGTTCCATTTGAAAGGGTCTTTGCTTTGCTGTTTACTATTGTGTGGCTACACTGAATCTAGACATAGCCCTACCCACCACCTAACAATATTTCTGCAGGATATAATTTTCAGCTATGAAAACAGCAATCAGTTGCAGCTCCCCATGGAGGCCAAAAAGGCACATGTATTCATTTGGGTGACTCATTGATGATCTACAAATGTTTTCTCACATGGAAAGCAATATTTGGATTAAGATCAGTTCTGAAGGTTTCGGAGAGTATTAAAGTCTTGTTGGATTCATCTGGCCTAGCATCTTCTTTCCTAAAGATTGCTCAGCTGACTTGAAGAGAAAAGCCTTCTGCTCTTGGTCTCCAATGGACAGAATTCAAAAGCACATGCTATGGAATTCCCAAAGCATGATTATAACTAATGACCATTTCATGGACTTATCCTTATAAACTTGTCATATTCCCTTTTGAGATTAGCCAGGCTACTGGACATTGTAACTAGTTGCTGTGCATTCCATAAAGAAAACAGGCATAGTACAAAGTGTTTTGTGCTATATTTCTTCCAACAGAATATCCAGCTTGCCAGATGTTGGACAACCTCAAACAGGAGACAAGTACTGGTTCATTAAACTGCTGATGGGTTGCGTTTGCTCTGGGAAATTGTGTGTCATAGGTTTTGTAAGTTAGAAATGAACTAAATTTAACATTAGTACATGTTTCTTTTCTTTTTCAGCTGTAAGTTGAAGACAAATCTGATTCCAAGAAAATTAAATACATCACCCAAACTGAAACTGTGAGTGATTCTGGCAGCATCAGCCCATTATCACTAAGGCCCAAGGAAATGGATACTTTTCCATCTGAAAATTAGGAAAAAAAACCACATTGTTATCAGAATCCAAGGGGGAAAGTATGTAGAAAGAGAGAAAGGCATCAGTATTTAAGAAATTAGGAGTCTTTGGGTAGTCTTGAGGATGGGACAACACTACAGAATTAATTCACTAATTAAATTTTATTTCCTTTTCTGCAGAACTAGTAAGGTATTGTAAAACAAGCAGGATGTGTGTGTGCGTCTGTGCATGTGGTGTGTAGTGAGTGGGATAGGAAAACCATGCTTGGTTTTGATGGATTTGAGATAATGATGGGAGAAAACAAGCAGACCATATTTATGGAGGGCATTATATCATATGATCAAAGGAGGAACTAATGATTTTGGAGGCAGTAGCTTAGATAAAAATGTGACAGTGGAAAATGAGAAGAGGTTTCATCCATAAGCACTTACAGTGGTGAGAACTTGGGCCAGCATTCTCACCAAATGGAAGGCTCACATTTTCACATAGCTATATGAAAAGAAGCTTGACTTGGCAAAAGAGCAAAGGAGAAGAAAAAATGGGGGTGGGGAGGGTGGGAAGAGGGGAAACAATGCTCACACCTGATTGACTGGGTGACCACTAGGTTGACCATTGGTCCAGGATCTACCAGAAGTGAAAACTGGCAAATGCAATGAAAAATTCAGTCTTAGAACATCTAAAGTACATAGCTGGATATAGTAGTTATGAAGAAAAGAGGTACAGAAGATACAGAAAGCGTGGACATACACTGAGCCTTAGAAGTTGATGAGATCATCTAGAAATGGTATATAGAATGCAAAAATTTCTGAGAGAAGAGGACGTTTCAGCTGAACTGAGACTATGCCCTGGAGATGGGAGGGGACTTTACCCATTTCAGCAATCCAAATTGGCATCTCCCTGCCTATCTGCATTTGGCAGTAGAGGAACTGTTGTTTGCTCCAGTGGGAGTGTTGTCCCCCCTATATAAGGTTGTAGTGGCAGTGTGGAAGACCATTGTTACTTCAAGGAGTTTAGGTGCCATATTTTGATTTCTCCTGCACATGTTAAGAAAGTTCACTCTGAGTCATAATAATGTTTAGCTGGCT